AAATCTTGTGCCACGGGCTGGAGAAAAAAATTGTGAAAGTACATGAGTCGAATGCGATGCTAGATTATCTGTAATCAAACAACAAATTGGACTGGAATAGATTGTGAACAAAATTGTAGAGGAGCATAATCATGGTCTTACTATTCCCAGTAGAGTACATTTGTTGAGATCACAGAGGACAATGTCAACCACAAAGAAGGCACTTACACAACAATTTTGGAGGTCAACACACCAACATGCCAATAGATGCAACTTATGGAGATAGATTCAGGTGGTCTTTCATCCGTTGGGTGTGTAGAGAGAGAGGTATCAAGAACTGTGAAAGGTATATATGAGCGAAGCAAAGTGGTCACAATGTAGATGATGTGATCGAGCATTTTACATTTGAGAAAGAAAAAAAAATCAAAATCTTGTATTTCGATCATGAGACTGATTTGAATAGAAAGTTGGTTCGATTTTTTGGGCTGATTCGAAGTCAAGAAGATCATATGCATACTTCAGCGATGCCGTTGTGTTCGACACAAACTACAACACCAGTAAGTACTCAATGATTTTTTTCCCATTTATTGGAGTAAACCACCATGGGCAGACAATTATTTTCGCTTGTGGGTTATTAAGTAACGAAAGAATTGAATCGTTCGTTTGGCTATTCTTGAAGTTCCTTGAAGTAATACCAAATAATTTGTCATCGGGTGGTTATCAGTACTAATCAAGATTTTTCAATTTCAAAAGCTATACAAATGATACTGCCTACGACATTGCATCATTACTGTTTATGGCATATACTTAACAAGTTCTCGAAGAAGATCAATGCTAAATTATACAACAAGCAGTATCAAAGACTGGTAAATATCATTAAACAATTCGAAACACCCGAGGAGTTCAAGAAACGTTGGAATGAGGTAATGGAAACTACAAAACTGGACTACAATGAATGGCTCAATAACATGTACGAGATACGTTTTCATTGGGTACCTGCATCTGTGAAATAGGTTTTCAATGCATGCATGTCTAGTACCCAAAGATCCGAAAGTGGCCACTCGCTCATGAAGAAATACATGAAGCGAAAGAATTCGTTTATGGGTTTCATTACTTATTTCAACAAGGCACTAGCTCATCAATGACGTGAAGAGTTAGTTTCTAACCACATCGATCTCACTAAATAATCAAGACTGACATCGATTGGCATAATGGAACGCCAGATATTTCAAATTTACACAAAAAAGATTTTCATATCTTTTCAGAAGGAAGTTGAGCAGAGTAATTTTTACATTTGCTCAAAGAGGTCGGACTTCATCGATGCTAAAGTGTATGAGGTGGAGCGATTTGAGCAGTGGAAGACTTTCGAACATCAACATGTACTTGCCTATTTCACAAATTTGGATTTCATCACATGCAATTATGGGATGTTTGAATTTGAAGGTTATCCGTGTTGACATATGCTTAGCTATTTCAAGAAAAACAAGTTCTGCCTCTACTGGAGAAATACAATCTACAAAGATGGATGAAGAATGCCAAGGTCGGGTAAATTGACGAACGTATGGGTGGTTCATTGTTGACGACGATTACGGGCAGTCACTGATGGGACGACATGGGATGTTGTCATGCAAGGCTTCTTTGCTAGTCGACAAAGCTTCATTAACATATGCTCGCAGCACCTATTTGTTGGACGAATTTGCTAAGTTACGTATCAACCTAAAAGAGATCGATAACGGAGACAATGTTGTCATGAACAAGATTGGAAGCAAAAGTTGCAAAGAAAGTCAAGTCATAACTGATCCAAATGCTATTAGAGCTAAAGGATGTGAAAAGCGACTGAAATTGTAGAAGGAAAAAGTGATTTCTAAAAGTAGGCAATGGCGTTCATGTGGTGGTCATGGCCATGACAAACGAACATGTCCCAATTTACAAAACAGGTGATTATTTTTATTTTTTTTCATTACTAATATGTTATGTAACTCATCTAACATTATTTCCATTTTCTTAAGTCGAATTTGGTGGACGAACCATATCATCCCAATTTAGATCATGAGCTTGACGATTTTAGAGAAGCGACACATATACAAGTATTGCCAATAGCAATTACGACATCAGAATAAGATTTTTTTTATCCATAATATCATTTATATTTTATAATAATAATTTTTGAGAAACGATGTAATATTTGCTTTTTATGTTTCTTATTAACAACATTTTCGTTAAATTGCGCAAAAATTGTCAACAAATAAATGACATTGCAAAATCCTTAATACATGTACAATTTCACATATAAATATTACACAACTTGGTAAAAAAATATTATAAATATTACATACGAAAGAAAAGATAAATATTATAAATATTACATATGAAAGAAAAAGGTTAATAAATATTACATATTAATTGTGAGATTTGGGTGGTTGGAAATTATATTTAGGCCTTGTTTGCTACACGTTATTTTGGAAAAAATACATTCTTAAACAGTAATTTGTTATCATTTCAATCACACATTTTTCAATAAAAAATGTTACATGCAAATATAAAAAAATTCTTCTTTTTTAACCACGTATTTTCTATTATTACACTCTTCAAAAATGCATCTTTATGAAAATAATGTGGTTCAAAAAAGGTTTATTGAAAGTGATTAGGTGGGGTGGGGTGATCACAAATTTCATAAGTTGTGGGAAATAGGAACTGGCGATTGAATTCGTGTGGGAAGAAAAAAGTCAAAATAGCAGCGTATTTAAAAATTAAACCAGCAGTGGGCCCCTACCCACTAACCAAAGTGACTAGGTAGGGGCAGGAGAACACTCCTATTTTGACAACTACCCTACCACTAACCAAAAAAAGTGCTTCCTTTTTCATTTCCCCCCTATATTTAACTAATTTTTGGAAACAAAAAAAATACTTTGTTACTTATTATTTAGGTCCCGTTGATTATCATTTCTATCAAAATGCATTTGTATTTTTTTCTCTTTTCTTTTTAACTACACGTTCTTCATTAAAATAATATTACACGTAAATAAAAAACTTTTCTTTATTTTTCATCCACACATTCCCCCATCAATCTACTATTCTAAAATTCATTTTTCCAACAAAATGAATGTCAAACACCCTCTTAAATTAATTCACAATAGATTGATGTTACTCAAAGTTTCAGTTGTACATGTTTACACAATTTTATATGATTACCGTGTTGTTTTACCATATATTATTTTAATAGAAAATCCTACATTTTATTGTAGTAAGATGTTGGGTTGCTTTATGTTAATTTTTATATAAAAAATAATATTTTACAAGCATGACATTTTGTGTTACCTTATATTGCGTTAAATGTAGGGTAACGCAGTGCTCTTCCATCCCAAACTCTGAAGGTAACATATATGTTACTGCATCCCAAAAGCTAATACACCCCCATCAACACTGTTTTTCACCATCTCCTTCGCATTTTGACCCCACAATCACCTCACATGCCACCAATATGGTGTAGTTAAATAAATAGAATCATGTCACTATGTTCATTATCTTTAGTTCCATTATTGACAATCTTTGTGTGAAGGGCTAAATGACCTCTTCATGAGGATTCTTTCCATTAAATAGGAATTGCATTACAAATCACTAGCTAATTTTTTTAGCTAATTTCTAGTAATTTACATTTTATATGTTAATCTAGTTTAGGTAAATAATTAACGTGTATATACAATGATTATAGAAATATAAATCTCGTCCACGATCTTTGCCATTGATATCCCCCTCAAATTGATGATGGGTGATCAACAAGTATCAATTTGTCAACAAGAGATTGATGTCAGTGTCAAGAAAGAGCCTTAGTTAACACGTCAAGATTGTTGGTGATATGTGGAAGAAAGATGACTCGACTGTCATATGCTTCACGAGTGGAGTGACAATCTACTTCAATGTGCTTGGTGTGCTCATGAAATATTGGATTAGAAGCAATCTATATAGCGCTAGTATTATTTGCATGGAGCGAAGTAGATTCAACCTGGGAAAACCTGAGCTCAGCCAACAATCCCCATATCCAAACAATCTCAAAACAAACAGAAGACATAGCACGATACTCAGACTCAGTGGAGGATTTAGACACACGATCTTGCTTATTACTTTTCCAAGAAATGAGAGAGTTACCAAGAAACATGCACCAACCATTAATGGAACGACGAGTATCAAAACAACCAGCCCAAACAGCATCATTATATGCCACCAGATGAATAAGAGAGCCCACAGGAAAGAAAATATCACAGGAGGAAGTGCCTTGCAAATAGCGAACAATGCGACAGACAACCGCTAGATGAAAATTAGGTGCTTGCATAAACTGACTAACTTGTTGAACAACAAAAGAAATATCAAGGCGAGTAATAGTCAAATAGTTCACGCTTCCCACCAGCTGTCTATGCAAAGAGGAATTAGAGAGAAAATCACCCTCATCACAATGATACTTAACATTCACTTCCAAGGGAGTATCAACAGAACGACCATCTTGAAGCCTAGCTAGAGCAATTAACTCTTGAGTGTACTTATGTTGGTGTAAGAAAATACTAGCAGAGGTGAGAAGATCATTGAGGAGCCACAGAAGCAAGCATCGGATCAGAGTGAGAAGGTTTTGCGATGATGAGGGTCGTTGTTGTTGATAGACAACACTTGGTTTAAAACGCTCAATTAGTGGAGAGAAGTCATCAAAGTTGGGAAGGATGACACCGTTGGAGGGAGGCAACATGTTGTGGAAAGTAATACACATGTTCAAAGAAAATCACATTTCTAGAAATATGCAGATGATTAGCAACAACATCATAACATAAAAACCCCTTCCGAATAATGATGTAACCCATGAAAGCATACCGAACTGATTGAGATGTAAGCTTGTAGCGCTCGTGAGAAGGTAAGTGAATGAAACAGAAGCATCAAAACGTGTGTAGTGTATGATAATCTGGATGCATACCATAAATGCGATAGTAAAGAGAGTCAAAATTCAATTGTTGAGAAAGCAGTCGATTAATCAGATAAACTGCGGTGGACAAAACTGCTACCCAAAATTTAGGTGCAACTGAAGACTCCAAGAGTAATGTTTGAACCATATCCAACAAATTGTGATTTTTATGTTCAACCACCCTATTCTGTTGAGGGGTATAGGGACATGATCATTGAGATACAATTCATTTCTGCTGCAAGAAGGCTTGAAACTCATGTGATATATATTCTCAGCCATTATCAGACCGTAAAACATTAATACAGGTAGAAAATTGTGTCTCAATGTATGCCAAAAAAGTCTGAAAAAGAGTGAATACCTCAGCTTTGGAGTGTAGAAAGTATATCAAAGTAAAACGACTGTAGTTGCAATGAATATGACAAAATATTTACAATGAGCATGAGAAATAACATGAGTAATACTCCAAACGTTACCATGTATAATCTCGAAGCATGTATGAGCACGACTACCATAAGAAGGGAAAGGTAAAGTTTTACTTTTCCCTAGTTTACAAATAGTGCAATCAAAAGGCAATCCATGAGTAGAACACTGATCTTTATTAGCAAAAAAAACCTCGCTTCATCAAATTAGACAAAATTACAATATTCGGGTGGCCTAATCTTTTATGCCAAACTTCAGCCTTATTTTTAATAGTAATAGAAGCCAAAGACAAAGTTCGAGGAACAATAAATTGTAAAGGAAACAATCTTTCCACTTTAGGCTCCTTTGCGATCACCTTCCCCGACACTTGATCCTGCACAAGACAACCACCACGAGAGAAATGCACTTTGTAGTTATTATCCACCAGTTGACCAATAGAAATCAAACTAGTAGACAATCCAGGAAAGACAAACACATGACGAAAAGAAGGTCCAATATCACCAATGGCCGTAATTAGAAGATTACTTCCATTTGCAACATGAATGTTTTGTGTACCAGTATACTTCCATTGATTAAGTGATGAATTAGAAGAGTTAGTAATATGATTAGATGCCCCCAGAATCAACAAACCAAGACAGAGAAACAGACTTACCTTGGCTTTGAAGCCCAAGGGTAGAAAATGCTGAGATAATAATCTATTGAATCATTTCTAGAGTAAGGGCAAGCTGATTGGTGCTAGAAGCAGTAGATAGAGGATAGACAATGTTAGGATCTAGAATAGTCACTTGAAAGGCTTGAATTCGTCGATTTTCAGGATGTGTAGGGCATTCCTTAATAATGTGTCCATTCTGCGTACAGTGATTGCAAAATTTCTTAACATGCCCGAACTCCTTACAACTGTAACACTGTATTTTTTCCTCTCCTCGATTCCTCCCTTGAGCAGCATATGCAAAATTATCACCTCTGATATCTCACTGGTCACGCCTATAGCAACTTGTATATCCATTCTCTATTCCTCACGCAACAACTCACCAAGACATACATCCAAAGATGGAACATGATCTCTATTCAACAATCCAGCTCGAGTAACTTCAAATTTAGGTCTCAGTTTCTATGAATTTATCACGCATACTATCGCCATGGACCGCTTGAAGGGTGGCTAGGGCCTGTTTGGGTACCTTAGTGATAAATGTGGGGTTATTGCGCTTATTTGGACCATTAAACTTAGATATTTGTGAGTTTTATTAGCGATTTATTACTTAATTTTCTTATTTTTATTTTGTAGGTGAAAACTCGAGATTAAACAATGAATTGAAGGAATTTATGCGAGAAACGAGTTAAAGATGAAGGCAAACGGAGAAGACAACCAAAGACGCAGCCGAAAGATGATTTCAAAAAAATAATAATAATAATAAATAAATAAATAAATAAATTGGCGCCAGCGCCTAAGCGCCACCCGATCCGTTTTTAATTGTTTTCAAAATTCTAGGGACCAATGCTGCAATTTTCTTTAGGTTTTAAGTTAAAACATTCAACCAAACACAAGATTTTCATTCTTTAAGTTGAGGGGCAGTTGGTTCTTCTTCTTCTTCTTCTTCTTCTTGTTTTCTTTCTTTTTCCTTTTTCCTTTCACCTTTATTTTCTAAGATATTTTGGGGAAGATTGGAATATGGAGATGGTGCATTAGCTTGGAGAAGATGACCCATTGATATTGAAGAATTTTCAACAATTTCTCTCTTTATCAATAAGTTTTTCTTTTCACTTTTTCCATCAATGTTTTGTAAGAAATTGTTAGTTATTTGTGGATATTTCATGGGTAACTAATTATATTTTGTGATTGGGGATTATTTTAAACCCGAGTTATGATTTTCAATTAATTTGTGCCTTATAATTCTCTTGATTAATGTGTTTAATCCATTGTGTTAAATATTTATTTTGTTCTTCTTGATTGTTAGGTGTACAACTAAATGGTTAAGTTGTTTCAATAATGCTATTTTGGAATTAGTAGTACGTAATAACTATTGATTCTAAAACCTAGTAGCAATTATATTTCGATAGATTATGAAGAATTTTCAATTGAATGTATGTGGATTAACACTTAAGTTTGTAAACCGAGCTTGCGATTACCCTTAATTCAATTAATCTCTTTTGTCGTAATGCGTTTATTAAATTAAATCTAGAGAGCATGTTCTAGGTTATTTAATGAATAGGGTTGAACAAAGAGCTTGTTTTATTCGACTAACATGTAAGAAGAGATTGAGCTAATTGAGCTTGTAATTATTCAAATCTTTTCTAGTTTAAATTTATCGCTTTCCTTAGTTCAACAAATTAAACCTCCCATTTAATCTATTTCGTCTATTATTATTAATTTTACTTTTTAGTGCGCAATTTTCATAATTGAATCAATCCTCTACGGGAAATGACTTTTACTTGCCATATTACTATTTAAAATGACACATTTAAGTTAAGTAAGGAAAATTAATTGGAACGTGATATGCAACGTATCAATTTTGGCGCTGTGTCGTCGGGGATTGTTCTATCAATTTGTTAATTGCAATATTTTTCTTTTTGTTCTTTTTCTATTTGTTTTTGTTTTTTTTCTTTGTCATTTAGGTTGTGAATGAGCAAAAAGCCTATAACACACTACAATCTAAAATCAAGAAAAGAGGCCGACACATCGAAAAGTGGAGAAGACATTTCTCCAACTAGACATCTAAGGCGATTGAGCATTGAATCCTCAAGTAACTCCGAACACATAGATCCCGAAATGGCGGATGCATATCAGACCTTAAAGGAACTTGCAACTCTAACTTTTGTTCAACAACCTCTATGCGTTTAATATCCTCAAGTGGAGGTGGGATTTGAACTAAAATCTGGGATGATTCATCTACTTCCCACATTTCATGGATTCGCCAGAGGGGATCCAAACAAGCATTTGAAGGAGTTTCATGTGGTTTGCTCAAGCATGAAACCTGCAGGTATATCGGAAGAGCAAGTGAAATTGCGGGCATTCCCTTTTCTCTTGCAGACACTGCTAAGGAATGACTCTATTATTTGCCGGCCGGTCTTATTACCACGTGGAATGAAATGCAGAAGCTCTTCTTGGAGAGGTATTTCCCAGCTTCAAGTGCTACAAACATCAGAAAAGAAATCCGTAGCATTCTACAATCTCAAGGGGAAAATCTCTATGAATATGGGGAAAGATTCAAAAGGCTATGTGCTAGTTACCCAAACCACCAAATCAGTGAGCAATTACTTCTACAATACTTCTATGAAGGATTGCTCCCGATGGAGAGAAGTATGATTGATGCGGTCAGTGGAGGAGCTTTAATGGATAAAACACCGGCAGTTGCTAGGGATTTGATAGCCAACATGGCCGTAAACTCACAACAATTTGGTAGTAGAGAAGCGGCACCGGTTAAACAAGCAAGTGAGGTAGGAGCAACCTCTCAAATTGAACGACAATTAGCCGGTCTTACATCGCTTGTGTAGCAAATGACACTTGGGACAATGCAACAAGCAAAAGTGTGCAGGATTTGTTTTATTGTGGGACATCCTACTGAGGCATGCCCGACACTACAAGATCGTGCCTCAGAGCAAGGGAATGCCATTGGGGGATTTCCAATGCAATAGAGATAGAGATATGATCCATATGCTAACACATACAATCTAGGATTTAGAGATCATCCTAATCTTAGTTATGAAGAAAATCATTTCATAGCTCCACAATCACAATTTAATCATCCCCCGGGATTCAATCAACAAAGACAACCACAATGCCCTCAACCTCATCAACAAACTCCGTCTCAAAGTTCAGAGATGTCTCTTGAGGATACGATTAAGTCCTTGGCTTCTAGTACTATACAATTTCAACAAGAGACAAAGACCTCAATCAAGAATTTGGAGACACAAGTGAGCCAATTGTCCAACACAGTGGGTAAATTGGAGGCTCAATGATCGGGAAAACTTCCTTCTCAAACAATCGACCCAAGAGAAAATGCTAGTGCCGTGACACTAAGAAGTGGAAAATTTTTGGAAGAGTCACTAAGGAAAATGAAAGATCAAATTGAGGAGTCAATGCAAGAGAAGAATTTAGCATGTGAAAAAGTTGAAGCTACGACTCCAACTGCGGGATCTAAGGTAGAATCTAAAAGTTCTATTCCTACTTATGTTCCTTCCCCTCCATTTCCTGACAGGCTTGCAAAGTCTAAAAAGGATGAACATGAGAAAGAAATCTTGGAGACTTTTCGCAAGGTTCAAGTAAACATACCACTTTTGGATGCAATTTATCAAGTGCCTCATTATGCAAAGTTTCTCAAGAATTTGTGAACTAACAAACATAGATTGAAAGGTAATGAAGTGGTAAGTGTAGGGGAAAATGTCTCAGCAGT